TATGAAAGCTTCCTTAATAATAATGCCAAACAGTGTCTCTGAATTTGTTGCAAAAGCTGTATTATATGATTTATTTTGATTTTCTATAGGTGTACTTATGTTTGAAATGATGGCTGGACGATCACCTTTTGAAATAGTTGGTTCAGCTGAAAATCCTGATTTAAATACAGAAGATCGTCTATTTCAAGTTATACTTGAACAACCAATACGTATTCCACGTTCATTAACTGTTAAAGCTAAAAATGTTTTAGAAGGTTTTCTTAACAAAGATCCACGATATCGTTTAGGTTGTCGTTATGATCCAATGTTAGGTTGTCAAGCTGGTTTTCAAGATATATGTTTACATCCATTTTTTTATCCCGCTATTGATTGGCAACGTTTAGAATCAAGACAAATTGTTCCACCATATAAACCAATATTAACAGAAGATAAAGATCTTTCACATTTTGATCCACAATTTACGAATGAAGATGTTGTTTTAACACCTGAGGATGATGAAGTTTTAGCACGTATTCAACAATCAGAATTTGAAGGTTTTGAATATGTTAATCCTTTAATTATGACTGTAGAAGGCAATGTTTAATCTATATGTACATTATTATTATTATATATACATATTCATATATGCGTAATTTATCACTCGCAATATTCTTCTTTTTTTCTTCCCTTCTTATTTGTCTACCGTTGTTTTCATTCAAGACTTATCGTCTCTGTTTATGAAATATATATATATGAATATCGAATTACATTGTGTTATCGGCTTTTCTTTTCTTTTTTTTTTCTTTTTTCTTATTCTCTTATGTTTTTCCTGTATTTAATGCATGTTATTTACAACAAAAACGAACATCAATAGAACAAAAGACAATCAGTTAATAACAATTTAAAATTTTTTAGAAGAGAATGTTACATAAAATAAAAAATAAAAAAAAATTGAAATTGATACAACATTATATTATAGAGAAAAATAAATAAATAAAAAGATTAATTTGATTTTTTCAACAAGAATTTAATTTTTTATTATTTTCTTCTTTCTCTTAATTGTAAAGCTAGTAGTTGAATTCTATACCATTTGTTAGGAATTATCAATAGAAAAAATTCTTGTCGAAATTTTCGAAATGTAATTAAATATATAGGAAATGATAATGGATAATGTATGTAGAGAATTGAATCATATAAGTGCAACACAAAATAGTCTGCAGTAGAAGAAAAAAATTCATAACAAACTGTAGCTGGTATAGCCATTATTAAAAAGAGAAATGTGGTGATAACTAATGTTATTAATATAGAACGATGTTCAATTCGAGATTTTTGAATTGTACCTGTTTGACGAAGACGAATCAAATGATAAATTACACTACTATTGAACAGAACCACAAAACCAAATGGTGTACAATTGTAAAGACCAAAATTCATATAATCCCATAATGAATATATTGTATATCAGTGCCCGACATGAGTCAAAGTTTTTTGACCCGACTCATCGACTTTTTGATCCTATCCGAGCACAGTTGAACCCGACCCGACCTGTCCCGAGGTCAGTCAGATTCGAGGTCAACTGTTTGTTTTTTCGTGATCCAGCCCGATCCGACCAGAGTCAAATTCTGATATCGACCGCTCTTGTTTTTCTCTTGAGAAAATCAATTTCTCGATACTTTTTTCTTTCCTTCATTTTGTAGTTGGATACAAAGAATATATCCTTGACGTCTTTTTGTCTTTGATAATTCGCTAATATTTCGTAGTTGAGATAATACGATTCTGTGAGAGAATTTCTCTTGTTTGTTTTTCTTTTCTTATTTATACAACCTGCGACCTTTATACCACTACTGGAGAGACAGTACATACGCTATACATCATTATTCGATGCCAATAGAGAAAAGTCAGTGAAGTAGAAGAAAATATCGTGCATTATATAAATTCTTGTTCTACTAAGTTTTTTCATGTTCTCTTATACAACTTCTAAATGAAAAAAAAAACATTCAAAATGTGTTTTGTATCTGCCAAACGTTCAGACTGTAGATCCACTTTGAAATCTAAAAAGTTTTTCGTAACCCGATTCGAATTGGACACTGTTGTATATAGACGAGCTTCCTTACTTATTGTGCCATCATCATTATAATAGCAGGCAAATAAAAAGAAGTAAAAATTAATAATGGTGAAAACTATAATGATGGATATAATAATAATAAGAACATTGCTTGATTGACTAAACCATATTTTTATGGAGACGACTTAACGATAAATATCGATCAAGACAAATGAAGACACGTAACCATGCTGAAACTTGTGCAGTAAAATAATTTAAAAGTGACAAAAACTTGTAGAAGGGTATTGAGTAAGTTTGAAGCATAAATCCATATGCTCCAGAAAGATAATAATAGAAATTCCATCCATATAATATGAGAATATTAAAGATAGCTATTGTACGCATATAATGAATTGTTGGTCGTTTATTTTTATCTCAAAAAGTTGGTTGTCAAAGAGTAGAAAAAGTGAATAAATTGAATAGAATATCGACAACAACAAGAGCAAATGGATAATAAGTAACTTGCCGATCCGGTTTCATGTTATTTCTCATTGATGTATTATTGCTATTGTTTGACATTATCGGATGAATTTGCATCATCTTTTATTTCGACAAACATAGTGGAGGTTTTTGTTGATGAGATTGTTTCTTTTAAATGAAGATTGAATAGATGGACGGATTGATGGAAGAAAACTAAAACGCGCTCTAAAGAAATATTACCAAGCGTTATTACTCATTGAATTTATGTGATATTCGAACAAAAACCTCAATTTTGAAGATACCACTAAAATATAGATTAAAGGAAAACAAACAGATTGTTTCTATTTCATAGATGTATT